GATTTAACGGAATCCAAAAATTTTTTCGCAGAACTATTTCAAATAACAAGTAGATTCGTATTAGCGGAAAAAAAAATTGGGGGTTAGGTGCACTTTAACTGTACATACAGTTAACACACTCTATACTTCAAAGCTTTTAATTTTATAAAAACATTACTAAATATTATAAAGGTATTTTATAATGTATTTCACAAAATTAATTTTAACCAACTATAGTTTCTGTGCTCCAACAAACATAGTCAAATATTACAACAGCCTTTAAGCTTGTTTGTGTTGCAGCCATACTTGATGGTCAATTGTTATAGCAATCTACTTAACAGCTGTGTCTCATCTCTTGAACTTTCTTGATGACTCTCGCACCTGTTACATGAATATGTGACTTTCACGACTATATACCAAATGCGAGGCTAGTCAGGCTGTTTTGTTTTCATAATGCTTCCTCAGAAAACTCTTGCGTCGTCGTCGATTTGGTCTGTTTTATTTTGCTGTGCATATGAGTTGCTATCTTTCTGAATGCCACAAGAAGGGATAGAAATCTTCTGGACACCGTTTGCCTCTAAGGGAAAATACTTGGATCAATGTAATTCGTTGAGATGAAGGAAAGGACTTCATGATCGCCATGGGAACCAAAGTTTGTTCACTACATTTCAGGATAGAAGGTCTTAGAAAAATCATTTAAGTGACGAGCTTATGTGGTTTCTGGTGGTATTCCAACACGATTTGCATGACCAGTACCTTCCCCAAGGTAAAGAAAAGCTCCTCTTGAAGACAACCTCTGTCTCAAAAGAAGAAGTTGTTGATGTCCACCTCCACTCGCACAGAACTGCACGAAACAAATACTATGGTGTAATATCCAAGCGCATGAACTTCAACTGCCCCATCGTTGAAACCAGTGATAGCACTGACTCAAATGACGACTTGGAGCTAAAGCAATCGCTTATACATTTTCTAGAATCATCCAGCCTGAAATGTAACGAAGAAACTTAAACAGTTCCTTCCGCGATCGTGAACTCCTTTCCTTCATCTTTTTTGCTCTCAGAGGCAAACAGGGAAACTAAAAATCATTGTGGAAGATTCCACTTCCTTCTGGTGGCATTCAGGAACACAAAAACGCTTAAGGAGGGGAAAACAAAATGGACAAGACTTTCCTGGGAAGCATTGTCAAAACAAAACATCAAAGCCTGACTTACCTTGCTTTCATGCGACTCATACCTGGATACCCACTGAGTGGTCTGCCATATTTGCATTCCGTGTATACAGTGTACACATGTCATGGTGCAAAAAATAATCACTACATGTTGCTCTCTTCAGAGCTGTTACTAAGGTTTTTAAGTAGAAGGCTGGTAAGAAGTAATACTAAGTACTACATGTAAGTGAAAATAAGCAATATAGTAGTAACTGAGCATTTATGCTCCTCCCTCCCTGGGAAGTACTGACCAGTCTCTGCACGTTTGCTGCAGACATCACGTTGTTTAGTGATATTAAGTATGGCAAGCCGTTTGTAGCAAAATT